TTTTCTTTCCAACATCTCATTAGATAACCTTAAGCAAACACCTGAAGGGAAGAGCACCAACAGCATAATATACCTTAAACCTCACCTACATATAATATAATCAATGTCTTAAAAAAATTAAGGGAAACAGATCTAGTTAGAGATATCAAAAGAACAATATCTCAAAGTGAGAGGAAGAGAGAGATGATTATCATGAACCGATTAAAATCGATTGATATTAAAGACCACCATCCACAGCTATACACTTAAAACCAGTCTCCTGAAATCCGAATCCACCCACCAACCACACACTACCCAAGAGGTAGACAACTAAAATTTTAAATTAATTGATTTTCAAAGAATTATTCAACCATTAGTAACATACCAGCCACCACATGCACATGGAATCTTTAATTTCTACCATCCTTCCAGCGCGCTCAATAATTTGACACCATCTAATTATTCAAAGAAGAACACATCAATTGGAGTAATACCGCAATGTAAATTTTAGACGTCAAATAATTGATGAATTCAAAGGGGATGCATACAGAAAAAAAAAAAAAAAAAAGGACCCAATATGAGCTATTCACTAAAACTTAGAACACCTTCCTTCCAATTACAACTCCGGCACTTCAATAGGATCTGTCTGCTCCAACATAAGCACCATTTATCCACATTTCATCTTGCTGCTGCAGGACTGGCAGAGAAATTGCAGAAAGAGTAAAGCATTTAACTGAAGATAGAAAAACTACCAACGTTGATTCAATCAAAAGGGAGATAATTCTACCTAGGAAGCTTCTTTCTTATTTTAACTTCTGCCTCTCTAGAAGTTCAATTTGCTCCAATATACGCATCTTTTTCCCCAAATCTTAGACTGTCATACAATTCACAAAAGAACTAGCAAGAACAATAAAGGGTGACAAGATCACAGAAAAATCATCCAGATTGACCTGCTCCAGCTAGCAGTGTAGACTTCTCGAAATGTCAACAATATTTCAGCAACCTGCTATAGTCCTGCATCCAGAAGTTCTCAACCGGCCTCCCATACCAAACTACGCTATCTTGAATTACCTCTAAAACTTTAATAGTACTGCATCATTCATGTGTTATCTTAAACCAAATTGTTAACTGTATATGATTAAGAAAAGTCCGACATACAAAGTCCAATGAACCTTCCAAAAGTCTCTCATTTTTCCTTCACAAATTAGACATTTGACCCCTTCCCACAAAATCAAGAAGAACAAAGAGCATAACTGCCAAGTAAGATATGTCTCAAACCTCCAGAATATGCATGGTAGCACAAAAATAATAACCTGTATATAATTAAGAAAGAAAAAAACATAACAAAATTACTTTAAGGATTTTCAAAGAATCATTACAAAAAAGGATGAATGCACAGGTATATAAATTGAGAGACTGAAATGTAGAAAAACAAGAGCTATAGAAAACCATCGTCCGAATAAATCCGAAACACCACACAGTTGAAACCAGCATCTGAATTCAACATCTGCACACAGCTACACTTATTACAAAATGGACAACAGTAAACAAAAACAAGAGATAAACAACGACAAATTACAACCAATACAGGACATTGATTGTAATTTAAAACTCCCTGTTTATGTCAACCACGTTATCTGATCAAAAAGTTTAATTTGTTCCAATGCAGTAAGCATCTTTCCTTTCAACAACGATCTATCTGCACTACGCGGCACAAGTCATAACAAAATCCGACAGAAGTAACGGGTAATGAGATGACAGGAGAACTACCGGGGTCAAACCAAGCATATGAAACGCACTTCAGATCCAAAATGATCAAATCCAGAAGCTACGTAAGTTACTGATCCAATGAGGGAGAGAGTTCAGAAATTCTTCTAATTCCAACTTCTGTATATTCATGAAAAATTCAATAAATTTGTGAACGACCAAAAACTCCAAACACGAGATATTTGAGTAAATGTTTGGAAGTCTTCCTCATTTGAACTCCAGCAATTCAATGACAAGTTCAGTTTGCAGCAATATAAGCATCTTATTATTCTTCCCCCATGATCTGTGGCTGCAGCAGAAATCAAAATAAAATGCAAAGTGGACAAGGATAAAATATACTATGAGAACAACAAGAGTCCATTTAAAAGCAGAAGAAAGGGTTGACCAAATCGAGGAAGATGAGTAAATTCTCCATCATGCAAAAAAGATCAGTCGTTAATTTCAAGGCCTGCAAATATCCAACGGATTTGCCGTGCCATAACACACATTACTTGTACTTTATCTTTTTCTTTCCAACATCTCATTAGATAACCTTAAGCAAACACCTGAAGGGAAGAGCACCAACAGCATAATATACCTTAAACCTCACCTACATATAATATAATCAATGTCTTAAAAAAAAATTAACGGCAAACAGATTTACTTAAGGATATCAAGAAACACAATTTCTCAAAGTTCTCTGAGAGAGAGAGAGATGATTAACAAGGACTGATAAAAATCGATTGATATTAAAGACCACCATCCACACTGAGCCTAAACGCTATACACTTAAAACTAATCTTCTAAAATCTGAATCCACACACCAACCGCACACTAATTAAGAGGTAGACAATTAAAATTTTAAATTAGTTGATTTTTAAAATATTATCAACCATTGGTAACATACCAGCCACCGCATGCACAGGGAATATTTAATTTCTACGATCCTTCCACCGCCCTCAATCATTTGGCACCATCTAATTATTCAAGGAAGAACACATCGTTTGGGGTAATACTGCAATATAAATTTTAGACATGAAAGAATTGACAAATTCAAAAAGGATGCATACAGGAAAGAAAAGGTCCTAATATTAGCTATTCGCCAAAATTTAGAACACCTTTCCAATTTCAACTCTTGTACTTTAATAGGTTTTGTCCGCTCCGACATAAGCACCATTTATCCCCATTTCATCTTGCTCCAGCAGGAGTTGCAGAGAAATTGCAAAAAAAGTAAAGCGTTTAACTGAAGATAGAAAAACTACCAACGTTGATTCAATCAAGGAGAGATAATTCTACCAAAGAAGACTTCTACTTTTGACTCTATTCATTAGCTCCAATATAAGCATTTTTTTCCCCAAAACTTAGACTGTCATACAAGTCACAAAAAAACTAGCAAGGAAAATAAAGGGTGACAATATATTTCAGCAACCTGTTATAGTCCTGCACCTAGAAGTTCTCAACCGGCCGCCATACCAAACTACCCTATCTTGAACGACCTCTAGAACTTTAATAGTACTGTATCATTCATGTGTTATTTTAAGCCAAATTGTTAACTGTATATGTTTAAGAAAAACCCTGCATACAAACTCCAATGAACCTTCCAAAGTTTCTCCTTTTTCCTTCCCGAATTAGACATTTGATCCCTTCCAAGAAAATCAAGAACAAAGAGCAGAACCACCAAGAAAGATGTGTATTAAACCTCAAGATTATGCATGGTAGTACGTAAACAATAACCTCTATGTAGTTGGGGAAAAAAAAAACATAACAAAACTATTTATAGGATTTCCAATGAATCATTACAAAAAGAGATGAATGTACAGGTATATAAAGAGAGAGACCAAGATGCAGAAAGACAAAAAGCTATAGAAAACCATCATCCAAATAAATCCAATACACCACAAAGTGAAACTAGCCTCTGAATTCAACATCTACATGCCAGCTACACTTACTACGAAATGGACTACACCAAGCAAAAACAAGAAATAGACGATGATAAGTTGCAACCAAACTAACTCCCACTACGAGACATTGATTGTAATTTAAAAACCCCATGTTTATGTCGAATACGGTATCAGATTGAAAAGTTTAGTTTGTTCCGACGCAGTAAGCATCCTTCCTTTCAACAACAATCTATCTATACTATGCAGCACAAGCCACAAACAAAGCCGACATAAGTAACAAGTAATAAGATGACAGGAGAACTACCAGGGTCAAGCCAAGCATTCAGTTCGCACATCGGATCCAAAATGACCAAATCCAGAAGTTGTGTAAGTTACTGATTCAATGAGGGAGAGA